CACCTGCCTCAGCCACCAGTGCTCCAGGGTTTGCATTCAGCCCCTGGCACACACTCATGGCTAACCCTACAGGTGCCCTTGCCTGTCTTTGACCCAGCACTGGTGAAGGAATTGGCAAAGCCACCAGGTTAATGATGCAAACCCCAGAAACTTGAGGCATAGATGAGAAGGCAAACAGCCTTTCCTTTTGGAAAACTAAAGGGATTTTAAGAAGCTCGCTGGCTTGCTCCGTCTCACTGGGAAGGATGGCACTAAATACAGTCTGTATCAGTCACCATTCTTAAGTGATTTATGATCTGCTCAGCCGAGAATAAGGTTGCACGTGGTAGGAGTTCTGGGTGCACCGAGGTCTCATGGAAGGGCCGGATTTCTAGGGAGAAAAAGGGAAAAGAAGCGGGTTGATGTGAAAATGTCGTTTCTGTAACAGTAATGCAGCAATGTTCGTCTAGAAGGAGAGCTGCCACATTTGGCAAGATGCTGGGAGAGGAACCAGTATTAAGCACTTGGTGGAAATGACGAGCCCCACAAATATGCCCTGGAATGAATATAGCTCATAGCAGGAGGCACTCCCTACAGGGTTTATCAAGATCGCTTGTTTTTGAAATCACAAATAGCAAAGAGCATAACTGCTTTTAGAGTTTCAGATATTTAAATCTGCACAAAATCAGCAGATGACGTTGGTTACATTAGAATGGCGTGAATTACAACAATGACACTAATCAACATTCGTGGGCATTTTCTGTGTGCTGGGCTGGCAACGAAGTTGCTCCATGCTTTGTAGGACTCATTTCATTTAACACAACCGCTCAACACAGATAGAATTCTCTTCTCGGTTTATAGGATAAAGAAATGGAAGTGCAGAAAGATGGAAGTCCCTGGCTGAGGTCACTGGACCCGGTCCCCCGCTCTTAGCCAGCTGTTTGAGAGCTAGGATGCACTGTAACATAGTTAATGGTTTTTCTTTTGATGGGCATTTTTTTCTTTTTTTTTTTTTTTTTTTTGAGACAGAGTCTCGCTCTGTCACCCAGGCTGGAGTGCAATGGCACGGTCTTGGCTCACTGCAACCTCTGCCTCCCAGGTTCAAGGAATTCTTCTGCCTCAGCCTGCTGAGTATCTGGGATTACAGGCATGCACCACTACGCCCAGTTAATTTTTGTATTTTTTTTTTAATAGAGTTTCGCCATGTTGGCCAGGCTGCTCTCGAACTCCTAACCTCAAGTGATCCACCCACCTCAGCCTCCCAAAATGTGCTGGGATTACAGGCGTGAGCCACTGTGCCCGAACTTGTTTCTAGTTCTTTAAGGGTGACGCGGTTCGTTTCAGAATTCAGCGTTCCCTCGGCTTTCTTCCCCTCCTCAGTCCCCTATGCCAGATTCTCCAACTGTTCATGACCTTTGAACTTGGGAAGGGACCTCTTTTCTGCTTTATCTATACCTGCTTTCCTGGTGATCTTGCCAAGGTACAAGAGTTGAAGTGGATCTTGGCACCTCCAGCATCCTAATGTCTACACCCTGACTCACTCCCCTGAATCCCGGACTTGTGTACCTAGCTGCCCAGGTGGCAGCTGCATGTGGGTGTCATCTGATGGGCATCTGAGGCTTCTCTCACCCAGAACTGGGTGCCTGATTCGACCTCACGCTTCTCTCTCCCCAGCCCAAGGGCGTCCCCAGCGCAGCACCCGGCACTCCATTCTCTAGGTGCTCAGTCCAACCGCAAGCCTTAGGTCAGCCTTGACTCCTCTCTTTCTTTCACCCTCTATGTCAAACCTGTCAGCAAATCTGGCTGGCTCTGGCTTCAGGTATCTCCCAAATGAGACCACTCCTATCACCTAAGTCCTTGTCACCTCTGACCTTTGACTCCATTGACCATTGATGCTTCCAAAACATCTGTCAGACTATGTCCCTGTGCCCTAAATCTTCCAGTAGCTTCCCAGCACACTCGGAGCAAAAGCCAAAGACCTCGCCGTGGCCCCTCGTGTCTCTCAGGCCATTTCCTCCTCCTCCTGTCCTGGTCTGTCGGGCTGTTTCAGCAGAGAGCCATAGATTGGGCACCTGTAAACAAATGACACCGTCTCTCAGCCCTGGAGGTGGGAAGTCTGAGAAGAGGGTGCCAGCAGGCCCGGTTCTGGTGAGGGCTCCCCGCTGGGATGCAGATGGCCGTCTTTTGCTGTGTCCTCACTTGGTGGGAAGCCAGAGAGCTCTCTGGGGCCCCTTCCGTAAGGGAGGGCGTGATCCCACCCTCATTACCTAATCACCTCCCAAAGCCCCCACATCCTAAAGCCACTGCCTTGGGGTGAGGAATTCGGCACAGGAATTTAAGGGGACACAGCATTCAGTCTACAGCATTCCCCCAGCTCACTCTGGGGGCCTCCTCACGTGTTCCGTGTGCCTTGGCCTTGCCGAGCACCCTCCCTGGCAGAGCCTTCTCAGGAGCAGCGCGTTCGTCACCTCGCTCTGCCTCCATCCTGTCACTGTCCTGGGTCACCTGGTCACCCCTGGCCCACGCCACATTCCCACTTGTGTGTGCGTTTAGGTGTATTTTTCTTTTTCTTTCTTTTTTTTTTTTTTTTTTGAGACGGAGTTTCGCTCTTGTTACCCAGGCTGGAGTGCAATGGCACGATCTCGGCTCACCGCAACCTCCGCCTCCTGGGTTCAGGCAATTCTCCTGCCTCAGCCTCCTGAGTAGCTGGGATTACAGGCACGAGCCACCATGCCCAGCTAATTTTTTGTATTTTTAGTAGAGACGGGGTTTCACTATGTTGACCAGGATGGTCTCGATCTCTTGACCTCGTGATCCACCCGCCTCGGCCTCCCAAAGTGCTGGGATTACAGGCGTGAGCCACCGCGCCCGGCTAGGTGTATTTTTCTTGAGAGCATTTGTCACCTCCTGCTGTTCTGTGTCCATGGTGTCATCTGTCTCTCCCTGAGGGGTCAGCTCCATGTGGTCAGGGACTCCATCTGTTTTATTCCCTGCCATGGTCTCAGCACTTGGGGCTGGCACATGGCAGGTGCTCAGACTGTGTTTGTTGAATGAATGAACGATAGCTGCGTGCCCAGGCTCTGAGGGAGTGTGGTACAGGCACCCTTCAAGCCCCAGTCCCTGCCCCCAGGGAACCGTGCAGGGTGAGCAGATGCATGGGCACAGGCCTGGTGCTTAAAGGAAGGTTGGAAGGTTCTAGCCCACCCCTCCTCTCGTTGACTTGAGGTTAGGAAGGGGCTAGTTTGGGCTGAGAGGAAGAGCTTCCTCCACCCAGTGGCATCTGTCCCCTGCCCGACGTTCCACCTGAGCTCTGGTCACAAGCTCCAGACCTGTTCCTGGGCCACACCTCCACCCTGCTACAAAACCCTGGCTCTCTGTTTGCCCACCTGGCCCGCCACTTTGGGCAGAGCTGCCCTTCATTCACTTTCCGTCTTCCCTGGTGTGGGTCGTTAGCGGATGGAGCCCAGAACCTCAGCCAGGGCAGAACGAGTTCCTGCTGCCCAGGGCAGGCCTGTCTGGGGGCTGCTGAGAAACCGCCCTGTGGTCACCCAGTCATTCCTGTGGAGTGCGAGACACACACTTTCCACTTGCTGCCGGAGAGGAGGGTCTGGGCAGCGTTTTATTTGTACATTCACCCCTGACTCAGGTACTTCCCGATCAGCATGCGCTGGGTAAACCCCAGTTCAGATGGCTCCGAGTCCCGGAAGAGGAGCGTTTAGCCCAAATTATTGGTATTAGTTGTCTGAATTCAGCCTCATCTTAATCATGAAATTTGCATGGTGAAAAAGAGAATTTGACTTACACAGAAATGCAACTGCATCTCCATCGTTCCGTTCTGCAGTAGCTGTAGAAGGCCTTCATCCACGCAACCTTCCCTCCTTCTGTATTTGAATTGCTTTGAAATTCCATTTGGATGGAAATATTTCAAATATTTATCTTTTTGTTTTTATAATTTTTTTGCAGTTTGTATGGTTTTATTTAAACACAAAACGTGCATGTGAGCTGACTACTCATTTTCTGTGCTGCGCAGCCTGGCATTGGGGTTGGTGACTCTGGTGGCCAGCTGGGCGGCTCTTTCCACAATAGCTTTGTGGTTCGAGAGGAAATGCTATGAGCAATCTCAGCACAGGGAGATGTCTTGCACATCAGCAGCACTTCCAGCTCCTTGATGTTGTGAACCAGGAACTGTCAGAAGCCACTAGGCAGCATGTGCTTTGTTTTTTTGTTGCTCCCATAACCAATGTTGGACGTCAAGATCTGGCCCTTGCAGGCGCGGTGGCTCACGCCTGTAATCCCAGCACTTTGGGAGGCCGAGGAGGGTGGATCACCTGAAGTCAGGAGTTTGAGACCAGCCTGGCCAACAGAGTGAAACCCCGTCTCTACTAAAAATACAAAAATTAGCCAAGCAGGGTGGTGGGTACCTGTAGTCCCAGCTACTCGAGAGACTGAGGCATGAGAATTGCTTCAACCTGGGAGGCAGAGGTTGCAGTGAGCTGAGATTGAACCACTGCATTCCAGCCTGGGCAGCAGAGTGAGACTCCATTTCAAAAACAAATTTTTTTAATTAAATTAAATTTAAAAATCTGGCCCTTGAACCTTCTAAGAACCCTGTTGTCAGAAGCTCTGGTTTTCTTCCAGTTACACTGAATTTTGACGTATCGATCTGAAGCCAGAGGAGCTTCTTGGTCCTCTCTTTGATGATCGTGAGCTTCACAAGGGGTCCGAGGGCAGCCATGATGCCGAGGAGGAGATGGCTGCCACCTCCATAGGCAGCATCAAAGAAGAGAGAGGGGCCTTTTTTTTTTATGTCCTCGGAAGGAGACTTCATGTTTCTTTTCTAAGAGACAGGATCTCCCTCTGTCACCCAGGCTTGAGTGCAGTTGGTGCAATCATTGCTTACTGCATCCTGCACCTCCTGGGTTCAAGTAATCCTCCTGCCTCAGCCTCCTGAGCAGCCAGGACCACAGGCACACCTACCTTGCCCAGATAATTTTTTTTTTTTTCATATTTGAAAAGCAACCATTTATTAGAGCCAATACAAGAATATGTGCGTGTCATCCTTGCGCAGGGGCCATGCTAATCTTCTCTGTATCGTTCCAATTTTAGTATATGTGCTGCCGAAGCGAGCACGCCCAGATAATTTTTAATTTTTTTTTTTTTCTAGAAATGAGGTCTTGCTTTATTATCCAGTGTGGTCTCAAACTCCTGGCCTCAAGCAATCCTCCCACCTCAGCCTCCCAGGGCACTGGGATGAGCCACTATGCTTGGCCCTACGCCTGGCCCAAATATTTATCTTTTAACACCTATGCAGAAGAAGTATATGCTTTCCAAGAGCAGAGATGGGCAGGATCACCCAGCATCCAGGTAGGTGCGTGGGCCACCAAGGCTTCTAGGAGCCAGGACAAATGGAAAGAATACTGGAACGTGGGAAGGTCTGAAAGGCGGCAATTTGTCCGAGTCTACATTTCAATCAGAAAAGGAGTGGTGGGTCAGGGAGGGGGTGATTTAAGTTCTGTTTCGTCAGACTCCTCTCCGTTTCTCTTTCCATCTCTCGGGCGGAGTTAGAACATTTTATTCCATTTTTTTTCCAAAATTATGTTTTGCTCTGCTTTGGGAACTGACTTAATATGGAGCTGGGAATGGAGACACCAAAAACAGAACTAGACAAAGTGGAGGGTTTGTTCTTTCCCCTCCTGGACAGTGTGAATTGCTCGTTGCTTTCGGGCCCTGTCTGAAATCATCCCCAATCCCACACCGCCCAGAGAAAGCGTTTCCTGAGTAGAATGAAAACCCCTCTCAAATCTCAGTGGAATAGGAAAGCCGTTTAAAATATTTTACAGGTGTTAAGGTGCCTTTTTACATTTTAAAAGTAACATCTCCCCTCAAGCTTTTGAATTAAATTGACTTTCTAAAACAGAATTGATTTTAGTGTATTAGAATTAATTGGGACTCATTAATTTAAAAACCTAAAATACCTGCAACATTTCCCTCTTGGGGTTAAATTCAAATAACAAGTTTAACAAAAAGACTCTTTGACTTCCTGAGGTTTTGCTTTGGGGTTGAAACTCCCTCGGGGACAGAAGTGGAATGTCCTTTTGTCATTCTCATTGGGTTGGGTGGCGGCGTTTGAGACAAGCAAAGAGATGACAGATGGAATAAATATTTCTAATTTTGTCATTCTTTGCTTCATTTTCATTTCTTCAGAGATCCCTGGGTCTTGCTGAAGGGATCTCTGACTTGGCTTGATTTTCTGTCCTGGACCAGTTGAGGTATGTCTGTGCCTCAAAGACAGACGGTCACTTAAAAGTATCAACAGGTTCTTTCCCTCCCAAAGACAGGCGAGACCTCCTCCTGTCCAGCTGAGTCCATTCCTTGTCTGGAGCCAGGGAGCTCTGCTTCCCAAACTCTCACAGCAAGATTCCTGGCCTCGCTCATTTGTCTTGCATTAAATTTCCTTGCAATCTTGCATAATTCGAGCATGACTTAGCAAGAAATGCATTTTTAATATGTGACTCTATCACTTTCTTATTTAAGGATGCATGTTTGTACATTGACATAGCAAGAAAAATAGGTATATTAAAACTCATGTCTAAAAATACTTGAGTGTGGAAAGATTAGCCGTTTGGCAAATTTGAAAAGAGGTATGGAATAACCATAAGGAAAGCAGTGGGGGCTGGGCACGGTGACTCATGCCTGTAGTCCAGCACTTTGGGAGGCTGAGGTGGGAAGATTGCTTGAGACCAAGAGTTCAGGACCAACCTGGGCAACATAGTGGGACCTTGCCTCTACATTTTCTTTTTAAGTAGCCAGGCATTGTGGTGTGCACCTGTAGTTCTAGCTACTTGGGAGGGTAAGGCAGGAGGATCACTGGGCTGAGGGTCCAGGAGTTTGAGGCTGCAGTGAGCTATGATCCAACCACTGTACTCCAGCCTGGGTGACAGAGCAAGACCCTGTCTCTAGAAAAGAAAAAGAAAGCAGTGAAAAAGGCAAATCACGTACATACCCCTGAGGAATGGGGCTTGTGTCAGGCATTGAGGTTGGACCAGGGGGTCGGGGCAGGTATTGGCTCCATGGAGCCCAGATGTGCCTGTGAGCCCATGGTCTGCTGGGGGCTCTGATGTGAGGTCTGTGGACCTAAGTCATCATACTTGATGCCCAGGCCCTTCCTGTGGCTTCAAGCCCTTCCACCTTGCTGAGACTGGAGGCCCCCCAGCAGCCAGCTATCAAGGCTGGCCAGGAGTAAACACAGAGATTCCATGGGTGAAGAATGGCATTGGGGACCAGGGGCCCCCAAGAAGGATTATGCCTTGGTGTCCGCCTTCCAGGGTGGACACTCCGCCTTCTCTCATGTACTGGAGGATGCACATCCATGCACCTAGCCCTGGCCAAGCCTTCCTCTGTTCTGCAGGACATCTTGTTCCATCCCATCCATGCAAGACCAGCCACAAGCAAGTCTCCCTTCTTGCTCCAACGCCAGTTCCCTCGTGGGTCCTTCCTTGCTATTTTCTTTCATTTTCAGAAATGCTCTCTCAATCTTCCCCTTCCAGCTGCCACCCATTCCTCTTCTGATCTTTCTAGTAAAGATTCCTTAAAAGAACCATCTGGCCCTCCTGTCTTCAGTTCCGCTACACTTGGGGCTGTCTTGAACCCACTCCAACCTCTGTGGCTTTTCCCCTGGAGCTCCTCCATCACAATCACTGGTGACCTCAACTTTGCTGATTCCAGTGGTCACCACTCAGCCCCAGGTTCACTTGGTTCTCAGGACACGACTTGCTCATACTTCTTTGGCCTCCTCTTTTCAGCCTTCTGCTTCTTTGGGATCTCTAAATGGTAGAGAGCCCCAGAAAGCCCTTCTCTCTCTCTGCTCTCCCTTGGTGAACCCAGGCCTCTTCTCTCTGCTCTCCTTGGTGAACCCAGATAGTGTTACGATTTTAACTAAGTCGTCTATGCACTGACGACTCCAGCCCACATGCTTTATACACTGGTGGCTCTAGCTCATGTCCTCTGTACACTGATGGCTCCAGCCTTGTCATCTATACACTGATGGCTCCATCCCATGTTCTTTATACATTGATGGCTTTAGCCCACATCCTCTATACACTGGTGGTTGTAGCTCATGTCCCCTATACACTGACAGCTCCAGCCATGTTATCTATACACTAAGGGCTCCAGCTCATATCTTCTATACACTGATGGCTCCAGCCTGCATTCTCTATACACTGATGGCTCTAGCTCACCCCTCAGCCTAAGACTTAAATAATTTGCCTGCTTTCTCAGCTTCTCAGCATCTCAGCCTGGGTGTCTGAGAGCCTCTTACACTTCACACCTTTAGAACTGAACTCCCAAGTGCTCCCGGGGCCTGCTTCTTGGGCAATTTTCCTGACCTCATCCTTTTAGTTGCCAAAAGCCTTGGAGGCACCTTTGACCCATCAGCAAATCTGGCTGGCTCTACCTCCTTTGTTTATCCAGAGTCTGAAGGCTTTGACCCTTCTCGGCTCACAGCCAGGCACCCCCTCCCTTGCCTGGATTATAACATTAGCCTCCAGGTATTCTACCCTTTTCCTCTTCCGCTGTTCTCAACCCAGCAGCCAGAGGGGCCTGGTTAAAATGTAAGTCAAACCAGGCCGTTCCTGGGCTCAAACCCTGTGATGGCTTCCATTCACCCCAAGCAAAAGCCAGAGCCCCTACAATGGCCTGCGTGGGTCTTTTCTCCTTCTTGCCTTCTGGTTCACTCAGCTCTAGTCCCAAGCCAGGCACTGTGCCGCCTCGGGGCTTTTGTACTGGCTCTTCCTTCCATTAGGAATGCTCTTCCCCAAGATATATCTGAATGACTCCGTCCCACACTTTCCTCCTCTCTCTTTCTCTCTCTTTCTCTCTCTCTCTCTTTCTCCCCCCCCCCCCGCCCTTTTTTATTTTTTTTTCTTTTTTTGAGACAGAGTTTCATTCTTGTTGCCCAGGCTGGAGTACAGTGGCGCAATCTCGGCTCACTGCAACCTCTGCCTCCTGGGTTCAAGTGATTCTCCTGCCTCAGCCTCCTGAGCTGGGATTACAGGTATGTGCCACCACGCCCAGCTAACATTTTTGTATCTTTAGTAGAGACGGGGTTTCACCTGGTTGGTCAGGCTGCTCTTGAACTTCTGACCTTGTGATCTGCCCACCTCAGCCTCCCAAAGTGCTGGGATTACAGGCATGAGCCACCGTGCCCGGCCTCTTCATCTCTTTAATGAACCTGCCCAGGGAGGCATTTGACAACCCTTTAAAAATTGCAACCCCTTCCTATCCCAGAACTCCCTCTGTCTGCTTCATTTTCCCCCTTGGTACTTGTCACCAGATGATAAAGGGTGTCATCTGACATACGACTTACTTTTCACTTACCTTGTTTACTGTCCATATGCCCCTATCCTCCCACATGGACTAGAATATAAACTCCATGAGGGCAGGGAATTTTGTTTTGATGACTAGTCAATGCCTGGCCCGTGCTACATATCCAATACATATTTTTTAATTGAAATCAGCAAATGACACAATTAGGATCTCTGTTAGTCATCCTTCTGGACATGGGTTGAGAGTCCTCAAAGCCACACCTCAATGCCTCCCTTGGGATGCAGCATCCAGGCAGAACGCGGCTGTGTCTCCTGAGCAAAGCCTCCATGGCTCCAGTTGCTGGTGGTTTGACCTCCAGGACTAGCAGTCAAGGATGTCACCACATCACCACTTAGCCATGGGTTAACAGCCTAAGAGTCTGGCTTCAAATTCCTCGTCTTCCTGGAGCACAGTTTAAAATTCTAATAGTATAGAATCTATCTTTCTTCTCAGGGAGACATGTCAGTTCCATCCTGTTTATTCTAAGAATGACTCCCGGATGATATCTTTAAAGAAACAGATTCTGTGCACCGACTGTGTCTGTCTCAAAGGGCAACCCTGTGCTGAGAGTGCCTTACAGGGTATGCTTGGTCACGCACAAATCTATCAGCGTTGCACGCTTTTACCAACCAAAATGTTGGCCCATTGGGGCTGCAGCTACATGCTGCTCATTCTATCAAAATGTCCTTGGCTGGGCCCACCAAAAACGAGCACTGTTTAGAGCTCTGTGTTCCCCTCAGAGGCAATGGTGCCACCTCACCCTCTTGAGGTCCAAAGCTCCAGGGAAACCACGCTCAGCCTGACTGCTCCAGGTAGAATGAAAGCTGCACTGGCTTCACTGTAGCCTGTTTTTTTTTTTTTTTTCCCCCTCCATGGGTCAAGATTGCCCAACCATGTGACTCCTCTTTCCGGAGCCGTGTGTCCGTTGCGTACCCTGCCATCTGGGGGCATCTGATGTGGCCTGGCTTCCTCTTAGAAGAGTCTTCCTCTCCCCGGGTAGAGGGGGGAAGAGCCGGTGCAGTGACGTCAGAGATACTGTAAGTCCCTCCCGGCAAAGCCCCACAAGGCATTTCTGACGCTGAGTCAATGGTTCCCTTTCCACTTGTTCCATACATACATGATATTTCCAAAAGTGTTTTTAATTCAGTATCAACTCCTCTGTTTTCACACTTTTTTCCAAATAGCTTAATCCGTGATTCATTTTACTTCACCCAGAAAACACTTGTGCAGCTATGAACTCCCCCACATTGTTTGTTTGATGATAAATAGATTCTTTCCTCTTGGAGAAAAGGGCACTTTCTCCTCCCAGTACTAGGAAGGATTGAAATCCCTCCTGTGATGCCCTCTTACCACGGAGAGAGTTGCTCCTCCTTGGGTTTTGTTATTTCAGAACAAATATGGTAAACTGTTTCCCCCTCCGTTACTATAGAGAAGAGATTATTTGCCTTTCTCTTAGGGCTTCTGAAAATAATAGATTACATATTTGGGAGGGTTTTTTTTAGATCTGGTTAATGTGAGATAGAGGGGGTTGCTCCGGGATGACATTGTTTGGTTTGGGAAGTATTCTCCCGGTTGCCCAGCAACAGGCTCTTGGAAACGGGAGTGGACTGCGTTGCCCCTGGCAACCGTTGTTACTTAGCAAACAATGAGGGCCGGGCAAACAGTGCCAAGACTGCCGACTCCAGGTTTTAATTGAACATCTGCATATATTTTTCTCTGATTACACTTGATTTTGATTTGCCACAGCAGGTAGACATGGGTCCACTCGGGGTCTGCTTGGAAGAGCGAATATTGTGGTGTTGACTGCCATGCTGCATAAACGCAGAGGCCCCATTGAAACAAACTTCTGGCCATTCGAATATGTCCTAGACTGCTCTCAACTGGATACTTACTTTAGTCTTAAGTGGAATTTCCTTTTTGATCTAATTCTTGGTGTTTAGAAAATCATTACTTGTCCAACCTACTACCGCACATCACTGATAAACCCACAATTTCTGGGGCGCTTTTCAGTACGATATCTTCATTTCTAGTGCCTAAGAATTTCAGAAGAGCAAAGAGTTGAGTCCAGGCTGGCTCACTCGTAGAGACATTCACAGATAGGGTTGGCTGGGGATGGAAATTGCAACCAGTACCTTCTGTTTTATGTGCTCAGCGTTCCTGTTAAGAAGCTGGGTCCTCCCGTGGTCCTCGGTGGGATATGTATGTTGTGTTCATTAGGGGAGGTCACACGTTCCCACTAACAGAGTGCCCTGTTATGGGCACTTTGCAGTCACAGGTTGGATTCTGATCAAAACAGCCTCACTCCCCCACCTCCTTGCTGGCAAGCCGGAGATAGCAATTGTTTACAAGGGTTTGTTGCTTAGGTAAACACCACCCCTGAACTTCATTCAGAGCGGGTGACACATTTCTTTCCCTCCTCCCAGCACCGCCCCCAGCCTCCACCCCCACCGCCAGGGCTATAAATTAAGAACTGTTAGCCAGGACAGGTTTTCGGTGAAGACTTTATTCTTCCTTATTCATCTCGAGTGCAATCTGATTAATGCAGCAACAGCCGCAAAAGTGCCGCCTGTAACAGACACTCCAGCCCGTCACTAAAACAGCTCCTGTGGTTCCCGTGGTGAGACTCGCTTTAGTCGTATGGACTTTTTTTTTTTTAAGGGCGATTCACTTTGTGGCTGAATGCCCCAAGAAAATGTTCATTGCACGTTTGTTACCAGCATTTCAGCTAATGTCTTAAGACTAAAGTATCTAAACAAATTTCCCAACTTTCTTTTGCAGCAGAAACTTATAATGGAATGTCATTTGTGTTATATAACAATAAAAGCAAGCTTGTTCTTTTTCTTAAAAAGGCAAGCTGATTAGCCATCAGCCTTATGAGATGCAATAATTAGGATCCAATGGCCGCGAGTGTTGCTAGAATCAAAATGATTAAGGTCTGACTTACACAAAGACTCCCCCAAAGATTAAAATACATGATTTGTCCTGCTCCCTTTTGCAGGATAGTTGTGGAGGACCATTATATACTTAAAAAGGTAGATCCTTCCAAAGATATGCTGTTCTGCATTCTACAATATTATTTTCTGCCCAGTCTCAAGTTTAAGCAAGTCATTTTTCAGGAATTAGAGCCTCATTTTAAAAAAATTTTATTGATCGTTTTTTTTAATTTCCCATGGAAGTATTTTCCCATACATCAGGCTTTGCAATATGGGCAAACCACCTAACATCTTTAGGTAAGTTTCTTCCTCTGTCCGATGAAAGAGCTGGGTTAGGTGGTTTTTAAAGGGGCCTCTCCAATGCTGTGGTTTTAAGTGGAAATTCTTGAATTTGAACTAGGCTGTTTCTTCGCGTCTTAAGTTCCAGAGCCAAGTCATGACCTGAGGGGAGGTAGGGGGTAGATTGGAAAGGTCCCATATGTGATGTTGGTGGGATCCGGAAAGCCAGCCTCCTCTTGGCCAGAATCAGTCACGGAGACGTGCGAAGAACATGGGCTGCCTGATGCCCTTGGTCACTGGCCATCTCTAGAGATGGCTTTCAGGGACAGGAAGGGCCACACAGGCAGGATGAGACCCCGTCTCCAGGTGGGCACAGGTGCCCAGTGGGCCAGCTGCTGGGTCAGGTCACCAGGCTGAGAACGCAGGAGATGCTACTGCTGAGGAACTCTCATTTATCACTTCAGGGTTCTCTCCACCCTCTGGCAGCATGGGTCGTTCTGAAAGACTTTGAAGGTGGGACGGGAGAGAGCAAGTGAGGTGAGGCCTCCGCATGCCCGGTTTTCACTGGCACATTCCCCATCTTCACCTTGACCGTCAGCAGCTGCACTGTAGCCCCTGAAAGGGAGAGAAAAGTGAGAGGGAAAGAAAGTCTGGTAAGAGAAGGAGCGGAACACAAAAGCATGATGCCTTAGGAAGCCGCTCCCAAGAACCCTGGGACAGGCCCCTGTGCTCAGCTAAAGATGGAAGCTGAAGGCTGATGTGTGAAGGTGGCTAGAACAGGTGGGCAGCCTGGAGCAGGCAGGCCGCTAATTCTCTTGTTTATTGCAAAATACATCTTGAGCATCTTTGCAGGCAGTGTGCTAGGTTGGGGCTGGGGCTGGGGCTGGGGTGAGGGAGCTTCGAGGGGGCTGTTGGGATGACACAGACCCAGTCTTTGTTTTCTCAAGAAGGGCTGGCTGGCCGGCCAAGGAGCCAGATGTGAACAGTGCATGACAGGAAGTAATCCGAGGGGACAAGCACAGAGTGTGGTTTGGTGAATCTGGAAATGCTGTGTGGAGTACAGGTGCGGCCTTAGACCTGTGGTTCTCCACTGGGGAGATCCTGCCCCCAGGGGACACTGGCAGATGTCTGGAGACATTTGTGACTGTCATGACAAAGGCCGGGGGGGGGGATGGTTTCTTGGTATGGAGTGAGCGGAGGCCAGGCATGCTGGTCAGCATGGCCCCACCCCAAAGGACGCCCCTGCGCCTCGGCCTCCCCATTGCCGAGGTCAGAAAAGCCTGCATGAGATGACTGGAGAGAGGGTTTCTCCACTGCTCATCACCTGCCTGTGGAGCTGCTGGCTCTGTCTCTCTGCCTCCCTCCCTTTTTAACGCAGCAGTCACTTTGATCTTAGCTGTCATGGGCAGGTGGACTTTGAGGGACAGAGTGCTGCCCAGTCTGCCTGGCCCTGCTGGAGGGGTTCTGTCCATTCCTGCCCTGGCAGGTGCATCGGCCCCATCCTCATCCTCCCTGGGTTGCTTGCAGGGGACACCAGTGCCAGCCTTCAGTGGCACTCCATGCACTGCTGCCACCTTGTCATTGTAGGTCTGGACCACTGTGCACCATACTGGCCTGCCTCAATTCTGCAGATCTGAGACTTGCAGACAGAAGCTAGCTGCTCAGGGCAGGGGCGGGTACTCAGGCCTGATGGTCTGGCAGGCGTGGGCTCTAATTCCATTTGAATCAGAGGCCCTTCAGGGTTGTGGGTGAACCCAGCAGGGGCCAGGCATCGGAGCGGGACTGACAGGTGACCTTGGTCTCTGGAGCGGGAGATATTGAATATGCACGACTGGCCAGGGAGCAACCCCCAGATCTTTACATTCTGAAGCACCCACTGCTTTAAACCGCAGGAAACTGCTTGTGGGAATAGATAGATGGAACGATAATTTTCAGTCATGCTTATTTACAAATTCCTCCCCGTTACTGAGAGTGAATAAAGAGCCACTTACTTCTCAACTGCAGCCACAGGGGGCTGTGAAATGTACAAGTCCAGCTCAAACTCATACGGTCACTCCCCACAGGAACCGCATCAGCTCATGAGAGCTCCAATGGCATCAGCTAAAGTCTAGAACTGCCAAAGCAGAAGCTAAGCTCGTATTGTTATTTGCAGTTCTCTTTGGCATGGGGTGGGGGAAGTGATTTATATATGGAAAACAAACGGAAGCTCCACGTGAGTCAGAAAGCGGTGGCTCCGGAGGCCCCAGAGTTGTAAAAACAAGTGCTTCCTCCTCCTAAAGGAGTGACTTAGCCAAACCCAAGCCGAAGCCCCCGCTCCAGTCCAGCACTGTCTCTTCCTGCTTTGTGACCTTCAGCGCATGGCTCATCCTGTCTGAGCCTCAGTTGCCCGTGTGTTGTGTCTAGAGCAGAGGTGATGTGGTCACGGCTTCCTCGGCGTCAGTCAGCCCCCACGTGCGCTGGCTTTGCCCGCAGTCTGCCCTTCAGCGGGGCTTGGTTTGGCCGCTGCCTGCTGTCGCTGCAGTTGTCCTTGGAGTTGTGTCCCTCTTTCTTTCAGCTAGTTGGGTTTTTTGCTGTTTTGTTTTGTTATTGGTTTATTCTTTTTGGAGACAGGGTCTTGCTCTGTCTCCAGGCTGGCGTGCAGTAGTGCCGTCAGCTCACTGCAGCCTCAAATTCCTGACCTCAAGCAGTCCTCTGGCCTCAGCCTCCCAAAGTGCTGAGATTATGGACATGAGCCACTTTGCCCGACCCCTAGTTTGTTTTTGTTATTAAGAGATGGGGCCTCGCTATGTTCCCCAGGTTGATCTCCAACTCTGGGCTCAGTGGATGCTCCCATCCCTGCCTGTGTCATATTTCATAGATGAACCACCTGCTGGGATCCACACTCGGGGTGCGCACATCAACTATGTCATTCCCTTCCCCTCCCAGCCCATTTCTCAGATGAAGGAACCAAGACTGAGGCCACAGTCAGCGAGCGAGTGACAGGCCTGGGATTTGAGCCCGAAGCCTGGCCTCCTCCCTCTGCTCCCGCCGCCACAGCTGGGCCTCTTCCGGGCCATTCGGCATTCCCCTTGGCATTTGCTCTTACTGTGTCAGTAATGGAGGTTGCAAAGCCTTTCTCCCCTGGCTGGAGCCGACTCCCCAGCGAGAGTAAGATCCAATGGCAGGGGCCGGGAGTAGGAAGGGAACCAAGTGTCCATCTCTTTGGATGCGCTCTGTGGGGCAGGGCTCTCTGCCTGCCGACAGACGGTCTTCAGGTGACATGGTCTTGATCAGCCAGGCTTGTGAGTGTGAAGGGCGGGCTCCAACCCTCTAAAGAAGGGACTCTACAGACAGCAGACCCTTTTGACATTGAAATGTCTGGAACCCCCACCTTGGTAGTTAATCCCTTGATTTAGCACACACACTCTATGCAGTGAAAATTCATGGGAGGGCTTTTTGAGCCGGGGAATGAGAAGACATTGTTATCTTTTAAATCACCCCAATGTGAAAGAAAATTGGCTGGCAGAGGGCCGAGGTTGGAAGCAGGGAGACCAGTTAGGAGGCGGATATGGCGGTTCCAGGTAGGAGATGGAGAGGCAGGGGCTCACTAAAATAGTAGCAGCAGGAGCGGAAGGAAGGGGGAGGCAGAGATGGTATCAGGTGGAGAAGGCAGGCTGAGTCACCAGCGACTCATGCCCCGGGGCCCAGGGAGATACCCAGCGCCTTGCACTGCCCTTCCCGTGGCTTAGGAAACCCAAGAGGAGCAAGTTTAGGGGGAGGAAGTTTCTCTTGGACTTGTTGAGGCCCCTGAAGGGCGTCCAGGCAGAAAGGCCTGGGAGGCAGCTGGAGAAGAGCGACAGGTGGTGCTGGGAGTTCCGGTGTCCTGAGGCCGTCCACATTGAGTGTGACAGGGGAGGGGCACAAGGGTGGAGACCGAGGCTGGGAGACAAGGAGGGACTAGTGCAGGGGACCGAGAAGTTACCATTAGGGGGAAGAATGAAACCAGATGACAATGCCCAGACACGAGGGAGGACAGAGCTTTGAGGAGCAACAGGAAACACTGCAGAGAGGCCAGGTTCAGAGAAGCCTGAAGCTGCCCCATGAAGACCTCAAGAAGAACAGTGGGCAGACATGAGACCTGCAGAGAGAAGACAACGGAGACTCCCTTCCTAGAGCCGGGACTTACAAAGAAAAAAGAATCCATATCTCGAGAGAAGATAAAGGATAAAGAGCAGGGTCTCAGTGGCAGCGGATGTTCTCATAAAATGGGTGTGATGTGAGCTCTTCCATGAGCTGAAAGAATGGAGCCTGTGCAGAAGCCAGAGTACAGGCTTGATGGATGCGTCTTCGAGGGAGACGGAGGCTCTAGAACCTTCTGGAAGGGGGCCAGCAGCCTTTTTCTGTAAAGGACCAGAGAGTACATATTGTAGGCTTCTGCTGGTGCCTGTCTCAGCTCCTCACTTCTGCTGTTGGAGCACAAAAGCCGTTGTAGACAACAGGAAAATGAGAGTTGAAGATTCGAGGAAGTGGGTGTAGACACGGGGGGGGGGGGGGGGATGTGAGACAGTGAAGGGAGGTCTGCATAGGGGTTACGGGGTAGGAGGTACAAGAGATGCTCAGCAGGGGCACGGCTCAGAGCCAGAGGCGGTGTCAGAAAAAGGAGACAGGCCAGGCGCAGTGGCTCACGCCTGTAATCCTAGCACTTTGGGAGGCCAAGGCAGGTGGATCGTGAGGTCAGGAGTTCAAGACCAGCCTGGCCAATGTGGTGAAATCCCATCTCTACTAAAAATACAAAAATTAGCTGGGTGTGGTGGTACACGCCTGTATTCCCAGCTGCTTGGGAGGCTATGGCAGGAGAATCGCTTGAACCTGGGAGGCAGAGGTTGCAGTGAGCCAAGATCACGCCACTGTACTGCAGCCTGGGCGACAGACAGAATGAGACTCGATCTCAAAAAAAAAAAAAAAGAAAGAAAGAAAAGGGAGACAAAGGAGTTGCAATTTCAGAATGGAATCTTGCAACGAGAAAAGTAGAGAGAAAAAATGTACTTCGAGGCTTTCTCCCATAGGCATGTGTGTGGATGTTAGCATAGGTCCCCTACCCTTTTCACTACCAGAATCATTGTTTTCTGTCTAGTGGGAGTAGTCAGCATTCAGTGTGATAGAAAAATGTCTGGAGTAAGGAAACCACGTGTGTGTTATGAGTGGTTTTGGCCATTTTTCTCATATAACCCTGCATCAGGGGGTATATGTATGCATGCATATGTGTCTGCATGTGTATTTGTGGGCATACATGTGTTCATGTGTATGTATGTGTGTCTGTGTCTATGTGTATGTACATGTATATTTGTATATACGCATACGTGGGGAGTGTATATGTGTGTGTGCCTGTGTGTGTGAGAGAGATGCTCTCATGTCCACTCCTGGGGACAGATCATCGACTGGCGGTCAGCCTCTAGCCTGGTCTCCAGTTTCCAGTCACTCCAATGTCGTGGACTTCAGGGCACCCCCTAACCTAAGGAGAATTTCCATTTCCTAGAAACCAACTTTTGTGGGGTTGAAGTTATTGCTAAAAGCAGTTGAATCAGGTTGCCTGCCAAAAGAATATTTGTTGGGTGAAAATGTCAATGAAGGCTTGGTGAGTTTTTAATTCAAAATTCACCCTGAATTTGTTATATTGCTGATGGCAGTTAAAATCAGACCACATCAGAGATGGGGTAGCCATACCATAGTTTGGACAATTTTTATATTAATAGTCAAATCAAGGCCACACATGATGGCTCACACCTGTAATCCCAGCACTTTGGGAAGCCAAAGTGGGAGGGTTGCTTGAGTCCAGGAGTTGGAGATTATTTTGGGCAACATGGCGAGACCCCTGTCTCTACAAAAAAGTCAAAAATAGCTAGGCGTGTTGGTGCACACCTAGAGTTCCAGCTGCTGGGCTGGCTGAGGTGGGAGGGTTGCTTGGGCCCGGGACAGGGAGGCTGTAGTGAACTGTGATTGCATCACTGCACTGTAGCCTGGGTGACACAGAAAAACTGCATCTGAAAAAGAAAAATGTCGGGCCGGGCGCGGTGGTTCAAGCCTGTAATCCCA